CCCCCCCCTTTATGTACTTCTAATGATTTTCCTGGTTGAAATATAGGAGAGTGGGTTGTCATGAGTTGACTTAGTTCCTAAGAATAGGATTTATTGGATTTTATCTTAAGCTTTTGAGCTGTCAGTTTAGAATATATCATATGTGGTACTGAGGAGGCAGTGGGCTGTGCTTGGCTGGAGACTGTGCACCTGTAGGCATTAGTTTAGCTCATATGATTCTGAAGTTGCTCTAGAGCTCCTTTCCCCGCCCTACTCTTCCTTATGCATCCTTTTGCACTTCGTGAGAGACAGTCTAGATGGGGTCCTGATAGATCAAAGCTGAGTAGACACTTCTAGCCTCATTTACAGTTTACAGAAGACTTGTATTTTTATTTTTTGGTGTAAGATTTACTTCTGTTTTGGAACAACCTTTATGTAGTGCTGCACTGAACAAAGAAGCTCTTGTAAAACATTGAATAAATGGAGCTGTTTACTTTTCTTCAAGACTCCAATGTTCAAATGCTTAGACCTTAAACCTAGTGAAGCAAGCAAGAAAGTATAGAAATGCCTAGTGCAATAGCCAAAAGAAACTGTATTTGTGAGCCATATTTGTAAAGCCTAAGTCAGTAACTTAAAGTTTCTTTAATGGCTTCATAACATGCAGGCAGCATGCATTTTTTAGTGATAAGGAGACTATATAGTTTCATATACAACATGTTAATGCTTTGAGAAAATTAAAGTATAGAGGAGCAGTAAACTAGTGTTTTGTGGAAAGGCAAAATCTGTTTAGTGCATTGATGCACCTGTTATATTACCACTGTGCTGGCAGGCACACTGTTATATATTCTGCTTTAAATTAGTATGTGGAAAGGGACTAGTCCATGACCACAAATACTGGATTTCTTGTTCCAGAGTTGCTTAGTGTCAAAGTCAGAATGAAATAGTAAGAACAAAAACTGTTATTTGTCTGGATAGGCAGCCCTAAGTTAGCTTTTTTAGCTGGCTTCTAGGGAAACTATTCTTTTTATTTTCCTTATTTGTTTTTTCCTGGGAAAACAACACAACTCAATTCTATGAAAATAGGCCAGTCAAAAGAGTGCTTGAAAGTGAAGTATGGGTTGCCACCACTGATAAGAATTTGTTGATATTGAATGTATGTGTTAACTGTTTTTTGGGTGTGGCACATATCTGTATATAGTCATCAGCTAAACAAGTTGGTAAACAGAGGAAATAATACCTTCTTGGGGGAGATGATGTTGATTTCCCTTATTTGAACTTTTTTTTTCCTCCCTACAGACATCTGAAAATATAGAATATTTAGGCTGTTCTTAGGATTGCTAATGTTCTCTGTTATGCTACTAAAAGAACCAGTGGGCCACTTTATATATATATAGGTAGATTTACAAGTGAATTTTAAAGCATGGATGTGCAGTGTGTTATGTAATGCTGGAAAAGCAAACTGAATTTAGGAGAGCTGTCAAGGGAATTAGAGGCAGTGGAAGAAATGTGTTAACAGTAACAGAGAACAAGTGATGTTTTTCTTCTGTTTGAAATTTTTTACCAGATTTTAAGTGGTGTCTTTGTGCGGCGAAATCATTACTTTAGAGGAAACGTGTTCCTTTTTTTTCCAAATGGGCAGTTTTTCTAGTTCCCAGAGATTTACTACTTTCTTTTGGTCTGTAGTTAACATCTAGTTTAAGACAAAAACCTGAATATCTAGAAATTCAGTGACTGATTATAAGGAAATTTAATGCTCATGACTCACAAAAATTAATAGAGCTTGTATATGCTTCTCTCTATATATAATAGTTTATTGTACAAATCTTTTATTTACTAACCAAAGAGACATAATCTGTTCTTTAAAATCTTGGTATTTATTATATGGTGCCCTGTAATAAGTTAGTATTATAAATGTGTTTCATAATTTGATTTCAATGTCATATAATAATCTGCCCCTTAATAAGGATGAAAGCTTTGCTCTAAAATGTAGATATTAATATTTTTTCAAATGGATATGTGCTAATTAACCCAATTTGAGTATTGTCTGTAAATCTTGTAAGAACACTGTTTAGTAATCAGATTTATAATACAGTTATCTGAGAATATCATAAATGCTTTAAAATAAGCACACTATTTTGTAATGTGTGAATGTGTGTATATATAGAGAAAGTACCTCGGGATTAAGAAAAATTAAAAGAATTGTAAGAAAAATAATAACTTGTATTGCCTGTTTGAATTTTATAGGAATCATCAACTGCTTCTAAGGCCAGTTTTCCTGAAAATGAGTCCTCTCCTTCTTCACCAAAGCATCAAGCCACAGTCAGTATGCAATTGTTTAAACAGATAAGTAGATTTTGTAGAAACTGGGCTATTCATGATTAGAGAATTGAGGGTAAGCCTGCTTGTTATTGAGAAAAATAATGGGATAAAACTATTTGAAGGCTTTACATTTTAAAAGGAATGCATTGTATCCAGCTGTGCTTTCAGAAAAAAGTAAATGTCTTTGGATTGCATACAGCTTGGTGATACAAGACTAAGTTTAAAATGCATTGTGGTATAAAGTTATATCTAATTATATAGAAGTCAGTTTACTTCCTTCAAGAGTCATGACTTCTCACCTAACAACTTGGAAGGTAAAAGCAGAAACAAACTCCCCTTCTCCACAGAATCTCACTGTCAGGAGTCAGAAATAGTTTCTAGTATTTTATAGCTTATTTTTCCCTTCTGTTTCAGTCTCCTTGAAGAGACATAGAGGACCTGGCATTAAATAAACTATGTCTTTTTGATTCTACTAACTACTGGGAGGAAAACTTAAGCTTGTTAAACTCGTTATGAGTGTTTAACAGACTTTTTGCTTGAGTTTGTATTTTAAAGGTGATCACTGCTTTTTAAGCAGTGGGAAATAATTTTTAAAAATAAGTTTTCGGTTTTGTGTTTTTTAACTTTGGAACTGTACTACAGTAGCATTGAAATATATGCCTTGACCAATTTTAGCAGCCATTTAGTAGTAGCTCAAGGCATTAAAGGCACAACTTCTGTTTTGTTATGACTCTGCATGCAGAGGTATGGTTCTCTGGCTTATTCATGCTAACCCTTTCATACAACTCTTCAGTTTTGCACAATCAAATAAACACTGTTTATTAAGCAAGCATAGTTGATAGCCTTACATACAAGTAATTGTTACTGCATGTATCCTAATTTCTTTAAATATGGCTCAGACCTTGAGTTATTAAAACTGTGTGTTTTACAAGAACTCACTACTTCTTTTTAGAGAATAGAAAACAGGGATCTGTATCTTTAGCTGTCCCCTGGGATTTGAACATTACAATGAAAGCTGGTGAATTTTTGTGTATTTTGATACTTAATTTGCTTTCCACTTCCTTTTCCCTGATTACATTAATTTTCCCATTAGTACCCCCTAGTGTTGCTGTGAAGTAGGACATATGATACTTTTTTTTTTAATAATAATTCTTTGGAGCATTCCCACTGGTTTCACTGTGAGTAATTTATTAAAACCACAATTTATTTGAGAAACTGAACATGGGTTGTTCTATCACTGTGAAAGATGGTGACAGGCCCTTCCACTTACTAAAGCCAAAGTTTTGTTAAAAGCATTTAATGATTAGGACTGTTAGTGGTGGTCACACAAATGAAGTGATCTAAGGAATGGGCTAATTTTTTTTTTTCTTTTTTTTGGAGTGGAGGGGGGAAGAGGGGGAGGGAAGTGCCTCATTTCTTCTACTGGAAATACCAGTTTGGGAAAATAATGTATATATCACTGGCTTGGGAAGGCATTACAGCCCAATGGAGATACTAGACCGAGTAAGAGTAGCAGTTATCACCTGGACTGAAATAACATCTGAACCACCAGCTAAACACTATCATCCTTGAAAATGTCTTTTTTATGTTTTGTGCTGTGCTTGAAAAATGTAGGTAAAATTTTTAAGGTTCATGAAAAACAGATCTGTATCTTTAAGCGTGTTGTTACAGTATTCCAGCAAAAAATTTCTCTTTCATATTCTATTCTGCAGTTATGTCCACTTAAATTTGAGATTTAGAGGAAAATGCTGAAGAGAATATATCTTCTGTTTTCTTTGGATCTAGAAATGAGGACATTTTTGCTATGATAAAACTAATTTGGATCTTTCCCTAGTTGATTGTTTCAACTAATAGCTTGGTTCTTAAATTAGGAACTGCTACAAGGTGTTACTGAAAAAGAATTGCTTAAAAAAAAAAAAACCAACCAAAACCAAAAAACATTCCTTTAGCACCATTCACTGGTAGGACAAGGCTGGAGTGACAGGAGAAAATTATAGAATTAGTTACCTCATCTTGAGAGTCACAAATGGTATAAATCAATTACTTTCTTTTTTCTCATTATCCTTTTACATAAATTCCTTTATATTTTATTATTTTTTTCATAGAAACTAGAAATATTTACTCCAAATATTTGAAACTTGCAAATACCCTTCTTCAGCAGTGTTCTTTTTCTACCATTCACTGACTGATCTCCAAATTTGTATAGAAGCATACCAATATAGATGATTTTCATTAAGAAGATGTAACTAAGTAGTTTAAAATTCTAATATTTTGCTTGGGGATAGGAAAAAATAGGGCATCAAAGAAATGTTTCAATCATCTGTTTTTGTGATGAATATGTTATAATTTTTATGCATTTTAATGATGTTTTATTCAAAATATGCAATTATGTTAAAATAACTTGAAAGAATTTTGTCAGAGAATTTAGGCCGGTTTTGTCAGCCATCTTCTTCCTTTAGTAAAGGGCACAAACTTAAATTTATAATGGTTTGTGTAATAGAACATTTATGTTTAAAATTTCCACTGTCTAGTATCACAAATTATTTAGCTTGACTTGTGTGAAGAACCTAGGCCTTGAAGAAGGAAAGCTTTTTATCCTCTGGATGGTAATGAGTACTTTCCCAGAGGAATTTTAATTTTGCTGATCTCTGCATATTTAAATAGACTTAAGACAGTTTCTTGAAGTAATAACATGGGCAAAGATGGGTCATTGACAGAAACTGCTTATTTAGGGGATTGAATTCAGTGCTCTGATGGCAATAGAAGCAGTTTTTCTTTATTTGTTTTACTCTATCTTACAGGGTCAAGAGAAGTATGGGTTATTGAATGTGACAAAAATTACAGAAAATGGGAAGAAAGTTCGGTAAGTCTTGGAAATCTAGAAGTACATGTGTATGAGAGTTTGTGTAAGGTATCTGACTTTTATAATAGAACAGCATACTGGGTTTTGCAGTTTGTTTCTTTTTTAATCGCAGTTTGCCTTAGAGGTTTTCCTGTAGGACACAGAATTTCCTTATCCCAAAACATGTGTTTCTCCCAATGAGCTAAAGATAATGGACTTCAGAGAGCCAGAGCTTCATGTATGCCAGGGCAGTGATTTCCTGAAGGTGTACTGATGAGAGACAGCTTTTTAAAATGGGATTGATTTGTTTATTTAAGAGAAAATTTGTATAGGTTATAGCCTGTCTTTTTCCTTGAATCAGTGTAAGAGGGGCTTTCAGACTTCTGCTTCATCTCCTTTAATTTCCAAGGAGTGTTCATGTCATGAGCTCCCTAATTCTTCCTTCACTCTGCTTGTGAAGATTTTGAAGCAGAATATATCGCCCAATGTTGATGTCCCTGTAGGTGATGAATGACCTCATTTCTAACTTCCTTTCTCTGCCTCACAGGCAGGCATTTACATTATAAATCATAATGTATAATCAAGTAATGGCATCTCACTTAGATTTCTGGTGTTTTGCAAAGAGTCAGTGTTAAATACTGCTTAAGTATGGCACATCCTCAGATTTCATTTCAATTTACTTTTTATTTTGTTAACTCCTCATTTTTAAAGTTTAATCTTTTAGGTCTAATATTGTATTATATCTAGTTCAGTGTTTCCCAGACTTTTGATACATGAAGCATGCTTTTTCTGAGGATTAAATAGTCTGTACCCAGCTGATAGTCCAGAGCCACCCTGACCTAGTCTGGTGCAGTTGGGCAGTACATCTGACCCCCAGTTTGGTTCCTCAGAGCTGCTCCTAACTGCTTGGTGGAAAGGGTGGACAGTGACTCATGTAAGCTGCTCCTGATACAGTATATTCTCACCATTTATGTAGCATCTGTTGGAATCATTGATCAGAATTACTGCGCTGCTGTACAGAAAGATGCAACATGGCCATCCTGTCACTTGAGAGCTGTTGAATAATAATTCATGTTTGGGCAATGGGAATAGATTGTCAGGGCTTGTCAAGACTTATATTTTTTTAACCTCAGGAGGACAGATACTCAGACATAACAGCAAATAGTCAGACAGCTGGAACAACTCATTTGTTCTTTTTCTGCATTGTTTAGATGTGTAGCATGTATTTTATTGGCAGTGTAAATGAGTTTATTATGTAAACATGGAACACTTGCATCCCAGTTAGATGTGATCAATCAGTTTCAGAACTATGTGGTACTTTGGCATAATATACTAAGTACACAGTAGGCTGAGCATTCCAGATTAGCCCCTTTCAGATGATAATTGTATGGTGTTTCTCTTGGTGAATTGCTTCCACTACTAATTAGCTTTGTTTGATTTAGACTTTGATGGTCAGGCTGGGACTGTTAACATATGGTCCCTTCTACAAATATGATAGCAATTAACACTAGCTGATGGCACTAATGACTGTATATATGCTTAAGTATATTAACATACAGGCCAGCTGGGCAACAGTGATTGACAGTTTAAATATCTACTTTCAAAGTCAATTTATCTTAGATTTGTTTACAAATATTTACAGAAAGAATTGGATGTCGTCATGGGCAGTATTACAAGGTTCGTCACTGCTGTTCACTAAAACTCAAGGAAGTGGAACTGGATGGGTAAGCTCAGGAACAACCCTCGCCCTCATTTAAGTGTTAATCACATAAAGCACAATAAATTAAAGCCCTCTTATTTGTAGGTCTTAAATACTGATATGCATGCATAATTTAGAAAAAAATAAGTGTCTGTAAATTCGCAGGAAAGGAAATGTAACACTTATGGTGTAGAATGAGGAGAAAACCAGGTGTACTTATATTTCAGAAACATTTTCATATTTGATAGGTAAGAAACTGCTAGAGGTATTCAGTTGCCCTGTAAGCTTAACATTTTTGCTGCAGGACAAATATTTTTCTATTCCTCACTAATGTGTTTGTCTAAACTGTTTGTTTTACCATTCTTGGATATTTTTTCATAAACTCCAGGTAATTTTGAATGTGACATATCACATGTAATAAAGTAGTCTGACACTTGGCTTGTTGCATTGGACTACTTGAATAATGAAGTATTGTTGTTGAATTTAGTCTTTGCCTTTCATATTTTGTTTGCTATCTGCGTAGTGCATGAGAAGTATTTGTATCTATTTCATTGTCTGATGAAGACCTTAAGAGAAACATCACACTGATGTTGATGATTATTCAATTTTTATATAATCTGTCATTTAATAGCAAATTTAATTATAGTGCTATATTTATCCAGCTGTATTCCTACACAAGTAGTTATAGAAATGGTTCTTTATGACTTACCTAGTTTTGGAGGTCTGACTTAAACTGTGTGGATCTGCTGTAATAACTAGAGGTCAGATTCAGTATTTGTTATTCCAGTTTGTGTTGTCTTGATGTGCTTTGTTGATCTTTCTACTTGGCTCACTTCTTCCTGCTGTGCTGCTTTTTGCATAGTGAATTGGTATTGACAATTCTTTTCTAAAGCATTGAGTTTGTTTCACAGCGTAGAAGGGGTGATTGGAAAAAAAATGGGTGAGGATGGATAAATAACATTTGGGGTGAAGAGAAAGGAAAGAGTAAAGTTGGGCAAAATGGTCAAGCAAAAGGAAAAGGGAAGGAAATAGAATAAAGGCATGAGATAAGGTAAATTATGTTGTCTGGTAGGAATTGCACTTGACTTCTGCAATTTACTTTTATAGCTAAGGATCCAAAAAGTACTTATAAAACTAAAGTCTATTATGCATGTTTGGGAAGTAAAAAATTTCACCTGAGTAACTAATCAAGTTTCAAAAACTATTACAGCTACTAATAGTCCAAATGTAGCTGTAGGTCAAAAAAACAGCAACTATATGTTGATATCATTAAAATATCAGTGCTAAACTAAGATACTGTTTATGAATGTATGATACTGTTAGGAATGAATGTGGCCCAAATGAATTATCTATGAAATATAACAATTTTTGTTTATTGCTTAGGAATACTAATGTAAGTTGTGTTACACCTTTCAAATAGTTATTTGGTGGGGGGGAAAAAAAAGGCATAAATTCTTTTGATAATTTAAATGGAGCAAAAGTATCATAGTCACGGTATTTCTGTACAACACTGCCAGGTATTGGACCTGGATCAGCAAAACAAATATCAACAGTATGAACAGAATAAGGTGAAACTGGAAATATTAGAGAACATCTTTCAAGGACTTTTTGTTGTGTGCCTGCATATTAGCAGTTGACTTTGTAAATATATAATTAAATATTCAGCACACACTCTTTTTACCCTCTGCGTAGGAACGTTTTATGGGGGTGTTAAAAATTCCACTTCACATCACAAACTTTGATTTGTGTCAGTATTTTAGTAAGGTAAAGTCAAGTCTAACAGTTTGACATATGATAAGAATTACATTTCTTCTTCATCTTATGAGAAGAAGATTTTTTTTTTTAGTGTTCATCTGGTGATTGATATAACCATATCTTTTTTTGGTGTGCATTGTTTTGTGACTTCATCACTTTTCTTCCTTTTTCTCATCAAGTCATTTTGCCAAGGGAGCTCAATTCCTGAGCTCCTCCTCTCGCTGCTTTCTTCTTGGAAAAATGCTCTCAGTCGTCGACCTGCTGTCACCTATGTAAACACTGACCAAGTTTCAGCTATCACTGTATGTGTTCTTGTTGCATGCCTCTTGTCACTGTAAGGCTATTTGCCACTAATCTTGAAAGTAAATTTGAATTTTTCCAAGGTTTAAGTTTTGTCACTTCATATAACACCCGTGTATCCTGTTTGCTGTTTTCTGAAAGTCATCCCAGGTGCAAATTAACACAAGTGTATTGCAGTAATCCTGTAACTGTTCTAATGGAGCAAAGTAAAAATTGCTTCTGCTTCATCAGTGACAGAATTATAATCCTAAATTTGTCTACTATTTGATTCACTAATGTCTTGACTAATGAACAGTATGATATGGTCAGTTTTTTAACAGATGTTTTATGTCTAATTCTCTAACACAACTAATTTAGGATGTTTGTAAGATGCCGCTGATACCTTTGATAAAATGATGTACATGTTGTTGGTTAATTCTAGCTATAATTAGAATACTCAAATGTAATTGTTATGTGTAAAAAGCTGAAAGAAAAAGAGCTCAAGGATGTTCTGGCTATATGCCATGTACATGTAAATTTGTAGGACTCTTGTATACAAAATTTAAGCATCTATAGTCATGGTTTGAAGTGTAGATGCCAAGCATAGGAGTGTTGCATCAGCAACTGATAAAATGTTGGTAGGTAGTACGGTAGCTTGTTGCTCAAGGTGGATGAGGAGGAATTTAGATAATGATACTAGGGTTAGAAGAAACAAACAGGCTTGATTGGTTGTATAATTGGTTTTTAATATCACTTTCTCAGCACTCTTGTCAGAATCAAACTAAAGCTTTCATGGAAGAAATCATATGCTGAAGACAGTAAAAGCAATGTTTCAGTAATTTGACAACTTGAGGATTTCGAAACATTGGTGATGTTTAAAACTATTTTGGTATCTTGGCTTGTATTTCTTGAAGAGTGGAGGGAGAGCTGTATGTTTTGAGCATAGTTAAGATTCCTGAAACTTATAGATTGACTATTTTGATGACCAGTACCTTAATTTTAAAATATTTTTCCTCTGGGGGGGGGAGTTATTGCAGGCTTATTCAATAAATCTCATGCTAAAAATTATGCAGCTGCCTTTTCTTTGTCAAATTCATTGCTATGTATCTGAAAGCCTGGAACTAATAATTTGTACACAGTTTGATATCCTTTAAAATGTTACTTTCTATAAGGAGATCTGGATTTTTTTTTTAATACGTCTTTTCACAGAAATTTCAGTTTTCAACTGTTGAAAGGAGGTGCGTCTCAACTTTTGGTGTTAGTTGTAATAGCTATTGCCAACTTTTAGTGATGGGGCTTCATACAACACAGCAAATGGTAACTGCTTAGAAGGATTCATCTATAACCTTCTGTAATAGGTGCATGTCTTCAGTGTCAGCTACAGTGGTGGTAAACCAAAGTTGGGTAAACTTCTTAGACATCAAGAAAATAAATGCTCTTCAAGGTTATTCTGGGCAAACTCTTGTTTACTGTTTTATACCACTGTGTTTATTACAGCCAAGGATGTTATATGTATGTTACTACAGTTCATTAGTATTGCACTGCCAATTATACAGGAGCTCAGATGATTATCTTGCAAACTATTTGGAATGCAAATACTCCTACCAGAGTCTGGTTTCAAAAACCTTTTATCACTTCGCTGTGACAGTAAAGAATATATTTTTCTGTTTCTGTTAAATCTGTAAGTTTTGAAGCTCCCTTACCAGTCAGAAAAGAGCATCTGTCTCCTCAGCTTTATTTCACCAGTCCATCCATGGGTGAGGAGAACTTGGAGTTGGTAGAATATTTTAATTCCAATTAGAAACAGAATTATGACAATAGCAGGTGTCATTTGTACATCCAAAGTCTTCCCATAAATAACATCCAATTCTGTTTCCAAAGAATGCTGGAATGTATTACAATACAGACTGGCTTGTCCTGTGGAGGCTTCCAGGACTTGGAGAACTCTCCTGAAAAGATTGAAAAGGCCTTCTATTGATGTCAGCATACATCTTCAAGTCAGTCCTTAAGCTACACAGCATCTACTATGTCTAAAGCAAAAAAACCCTCAACCTCCCTATTCATTCTAAAAATTAGTGTTCTCTGCCATATAACGGGCATAAGCACATCCCATGACTCTGCTTTTTTTTTTCTAGCAGAAGCTGTTAGAAGTGACTCCAGGGCAGCTTCATATATTGGACAGCTGGCAGCACCATGTATAGACCTCTCCCGCTTTCTGTCTCACACTGTTGCCCTTTCCAAACTTCCCAGACAGCTCAAAAGAGAAATCATTAAGAATAAGGTGTCTGCTCACTCAGTAAGAGCTGAATTGATCTGGATTAGTGCTGACTTGGTAGTTCACTCTGTTTTGAGATAGAAGAATTTGTCTAGGTGGCAGCAGATGCTAAAGTGAAAAGTTTTCTTTTTACTGCTCTCAACAAAAGCTGCTTGCTTCAGGAAGGTTTGATCTGCCTTTAGCTAACCCTTGTATACAGAGGGTCTGAGCAGCCCTGTACAGGACTTGTTCCTGGAAGCTTTCAGGAAGGGAAATGGCTGATGGCATCTTGTTTTCATACACCCAGGAGCAGAAAAGAACCTTGACAGGAAAGCTTATAGGAGAACTTGCATGCTAAACTTAACTTCTTTATTCAAAGACATTTTAAGTTTGTGATGAGTATATAATGTATTGGTATATCAGAGGAGCTTTTCAGAGAGACTGGATTGTTTGCTTGGGTTTCCCCATCACTGGATCTCACGCAGCAGTTTGAGCACTGCTTGTCTAAGGAGTGGGAGAAGACTTCTTTTTTTTTCCCCCTCTGAGAAATTTAGCTTCTAGTTTTTGGTTTGTTCTGTGCTTCTCTGAAATGCTGAAGGGAGTCAGGCCAAAAAGATGGGTAGAGTCCAAAGGTGTTTGAGGTAGTTCTGCGATCTGTCAGGTGGGGAATTCAGCAAGCTAATGTATTGGAGGGCTTTCCTTTTTGGGCAAAACAGCAGTGACCTGTTAAATTTTTTGTTGTTGTTTGTTGATTTTGCCTGTAGCAGGTCATCTCCTGTTCTTCTCATCATCATCTGGGTGGTGTTTTTAATGAATGTCTCCCCTGACCCTGCAGAGGACTTGGACACTAGTCTCCTGCTCTCTCCAGTGCCAAACTCTACACATTGATATCTCCCTACCATCCCCAGCACACAGCAAGATTGGTGTAGGCTGTCAGGAAGTGTGTGGCTGGGGCACTTTGGTTTTATGTGAAGCAGTTATATGAATCTCTCTTAAATAGGCAGCTGCTGCATAGCTGCCTACAACTGTAAGAGCCATAATGGCCCAGAGATTGTTCCTGTTCACTCCACTGCTTAGCTGAGCCTCTCTCAAAAACACTACTATAATCAATAAGAAATATTCTTGGATGATGTATCTGAGAATTAAGTTAGAAATAGAAGGGTTGGTTTGCTTGTCGTTTGGTTGGGTTTTTTTTCAAGTGCTGGTTGGCATTGGGTAAATTAGAAATATTCTCCTATTCTGATATTTCATGGGTAAAATAAAGAAGATGCTACTTTCCATTCAACACTTAATTGCCCTTAAGACTCAAGGCAGGGAGATATTCCAGTGGTAAACAGCCTTCCTAAAACACAATTAGCATTAATTAACATCCATGCTGGGAATTTAATCAGAAGCAACAGATCAGTTCTGTTTTCTGAACCGTTTTTTCTCCCTTTGGATACAGCTGTTCTTGTACAGACTGGGAACATGTGTTTGCAGCAAGGAGATTGTCCCGGGGCTTAGGGCCTCCAGAGCTGTCACGTCAATAGCATTCGCACATCAAAGACTTTTTAAAGAAGTAGAAATGAACCTTTCCGATGGATCAGATGCTACAAGCTTCCCCTAGAACTGCAGCATTAAATTTCTGTGCTACAACCAAGTGACTTACAGCTTTCCCTGCTCTGTGTCTTACTTATTTTACTCACAATTAGAGCTTTTTGTTTGTATGAGTCGTTGAACTGGTTTCCTTGAGGAATGGTATATCAAAGCCATGTGGTGTAGGTACAAACCCTAGAAAAAGTACTTTATTTTAACAAATTGTGATACCTAGTATAAACGTAAAAGTAGCATGTAAAAATAGCTCCCTGATGTTTTTCTTCAAGTTCTTTGAAGTGTTACTTGTGGGTTAAATGCTTTTTTAAATCACTTCAGTTATTAGCTGTTTGTTTAGTAGCTAGACAGTGAAATGGAGTTCTCTATACTTGCTAGGATATGCTCCAGTATTGCAATAGGAACAGTACAGAAGAATATAAAGTAATGTGAAAAGCATTGTTGGAAATACATATATTATGAAAATATAAAAACTGCAAGTGCTTTTTCAGAGCAGGAAGGATGCGATTCCTGTCTAGTAATGCTACTATTCCTGATCTGATTTTTGGTTTTGTATGCAATCACTGATTAACTGACAGAATGGATTTTTTTTTGTTCAGTTACTTATTAGTTAGTTCTTATTAGCTAGTTTTCTTTAACGTTTGGGTCTATCTTGACTGAAATCAAGCTACAATCAAATGCTGTATGCACTTCTGCCATTTGTGATGGGAAAAAGAGCTCTGCTAGAATCTGGTTGGCATTTAAAGTTATGGATTTTTAAGGGCTTTAAGCTGAGCAGCTTTTAATAGACATGCTTAAAGAGTGTTTTGTGTCGGTGTTTTGGGTTTTGTTTTCCTGCTATCATGCCTGTTGATTTGTAGCAAATTACTGTATTTGTATTATGTTGTATAAATAAATGTAAATAATATGTTATATCTAGAGGATTGCAAGACTGTGTACCTGTTAGGAGTTTCTTTCTTTGTTTTTAAGTTTTTCATGATTGTTCCTTTTTTTCCAGAAGTTTGGTGTCAATCAGTCTAAGCCAGAATTTACAGTGGATCTCAAAGGAGCATTGATTGACTGGGCCTCAAAGGACAAATCCAGCAAAAAGAATGTTATTGAGGTGAAATATTTTATTTAAATGCAGAATTCTATGTACTTTAATTAATGACTTAAGAAATTTTATCTAAACTTAAAAACTTCAATTGAGTTTTCTACGTTTCTTCCTTCTCAAATGTAGATGTATCTTAGTACCTGCAAGAAATGTCGATTTTTAATATGTCTGTACAGGATATGCTTTTAAATTTTAAGCAGACTGTTATTTACTGTTTTCACTGGTAAGTGTTCTTGAGTGACTATATAATATCTAAAAGTTATGCCAGGGAGAAGTTTAATTTGATTTAAGTAGTTTCACTTTTTAATTCTAGTGTGTTTATCAATTCTGATATCTGTTTTTATTTCTTTAAAGCTAAAAACCCGCCAAGGAACTGAGCTCTTAATTCAGTCTGATAATGACAGCTTTATTAATGAATGGTATAAAGTTCTTAACTATACCATCAACAATCAGGTATGTGTTTGAATTGTGAAGGCTCTATTTTCAAGGTAGTGTTATTTAGTAAAATAATGGATGTAGTGTCTCCTAGTGCTTCACGTACATCTTAGTTTCCTGATTTTCTTGAGTGTGGGTAGGAGGTTAAAGATATGGTGGTTCCTAGTGGTGACAAGTGAAATATAAATAATAGTTGCAAAGGAAGAAGAATGGCCCAGTGGTTTAGGAACCAGGAGATGTGGCTTGATCTCAAGCTCAGAAATGAGCTTCCTTCTGTGGCCAAATACTTGTTCTGTCTCAGTGACCTGAAAGGTTCTGACAGAGAGGGAGTAAAGGCGGGAGGACACCCAAGGAAGTGCTCCATGACACATGTTGATCTGCTTTTGATACTGCTGTTCACTTAAGGCTGCACTAAAGTGTGAATTAAAAGCCCTGGCAAAATACTGTATTATGTCATCTTACTGGACAGCATAATGAAACTATTTAATCAACAGAAAAGCGATCAAGTATTTACTCTTGATATTGCCAAACAAGATTTGCCATCTTTGAATTCAGAAGAAGTTGGAGATCTTGGAGAAAATATTCCTCTCATATACACTTGACTTCATTTGTATTCTTAATTTTTATAGTTACAGGCCTGGTGGCTGCTCATAAGCTGCATTTATGTTGCTTTCCATGTCAGCCAGTGGCCTCCATTTCTCTTGGTTCTGATAGTGGTTTACACATATGGGTGTTTTCCACCCAAACACAGCAGACTGATATGAATGGTTTAGTTTCCTTCTGAGTGCTCATGGTTTAGGCTCCTAATCTTCTCTATCCTGGTATGAAAATGTCATGACCCTTAATAACCAGGTAAGGCAGTCACTCAGCAATACCCTTCTCCTGTCTGCCCAGTGTCATGCTACTGGGGCCACTTCTTCCCTGCTTAAATATAAATGAAGATGGAAAGGCTGAGAGATGCTGTAATGCGAATGAGGTGTTACGTGTTAGGTTGAGGAAGCGCATAATGGAATAGGGAGAGTTTATCAGTGCTCTGGAGAAATAGTGATATATTACTGCTGGGAGCTGGTAGCCAGGAGACCCAAGACTTAAAAGGTAAGAGCTCAGAAAGTACATTATTAGACTACCTGATAATATGGAGCACTGAAGCTTTGGGTACAAAAATCCATCAGATCTGAAGCAAACTTCTAATTTTGGTAACTTCATGGCAATAGTGGCTGTGAATCTCTTGCCCAGGACAGAGGGTCCAGCTCTAGTGTGATGAGATATTCCTCAAAAGAAGGTACAGATTAGATTCTGGTCTCTTTGCACCTTCAGGCTGCTGTTGTGGCAATATGCTGTACAAGAGGAATAGCTGTCTGCAAAGGATATGGCTGCTCTTTTTTACATACAGAATTTTTCAAGTGATTAGATTGCACTTGTTCCATAATCCAAACTAGAATCCAGGTGTGTGGGTTATTTTTCCCAAAGCAGTTAATGGTTTCAAAATTATCAGTTCTAAAAAGCTTTGAGGCTTCTTGGAGAGCACTGTCCAAAATGTGTCAGTGGCAGAGGGATATTTAGTGGGGACATTAAATGGACAATTGAATATATTGAACTTTAATGTGTAAAAAGGCTATCCAAAGCTTTTGAAAAACAACAAGGAATGCAGATGTTTAAAGCTAATATCTACCCTTCAAGATAAAGTGCAGCTTAGTCGATGAGGTCATGCTTCTGCTCATTTAATGCTCTGGAGTATGCAGCCTTGCCTTATTTTTAAAATGTCCTTCCTTGTAGCAAAAGACACTGTACAGTCAGATTTTTGTAACTTCATAGAAGTCAAATTCACTTTAGTAGAAGTGAAGGAAGAAATACATGGTTTTGGAAGGGAGTATGTTGCACTGAGACCAGAGGAGGTCCCTTTTCCTATTTTCTGATATGTCCGCAGTCATGCGTGTAGCATAGGTGTGAGGCTGCAGGTGGGCTGTTTTAACAGACTCTGGTATCTGCCTCCATGCTACAATACAGTCTACATTGTCACTTGACTGTGTTAAATGAGAATATGCCGAGAGCAGTAATGCAGTGCAAGAATTTTAGGTTCTGGTATATTTACTTTTTCAGGAGTGAATTTGGCATATCTTTTGACAGTGTAGAATTTTCCAACTGGTTAGTTCTATTTTCTATTAAAAAAAAATTATAGAGATAGGATAAATGGTCTAGAACTGGTTTTTAGACTCTTATCAGTCAGGTGCTTCTGTAGCAGGCTGTGAAATAGCTGATGTTTGTCTACTGGATTTGACAAAAACCCCCCAAACCCCAAACAACCCAACATTTCTGTTGCTTATTGCTTGATGTACTGAAGTATTATCTTGAAAGGCTGCTTGTACCTTATTCTGTCTCCAGCAAAACTTTATTGGGTCTTATGATCAAATAGTGTTTCTCAAAGTGATTCATTCTGCCAGTGAGAATGGGGTAATCTCTGAAGATCTTTTAGCTTCTAGAGTTCAGGAAAGAACAAATTAAATGTCATTATAGGGAAAAAATGTATACTGTAGAACTATCTACAGGAAATGTTTGTTTAATGCTATATTCTGTGAATTGGCAAACTGATCACTTGTGTATCTTCTTAAATCTAATAGGTAGTAGAGTCTGATGAAGCATTAGAAGATGATGTACCAGATTCCCCTGGGGTTGAAAAACAAGACAAAGAAAAAGAGAAAGAGAATAAAGACTCAAAGAAACTTCGTTGTGAGTTGAAAATTTTCCATTAATTGATTTTAGCAGTGCCAACTTATTTTCTGAACCTTCAGTGTTATGTGTAAATAGAACAGAAGTCAAAAGGGCAGCTAGAAATTTAAACTACTGAAGTCTGGAAACAGGCTTTTATATACTTCATTCTACATCTTGGTGCTAGATAATAGATTTTCTTCCATGTTTCATTAATCATACTTGAAAAAAGAAAAAAAAACAACCAAATGTCTACCTCCTGCTGTATGACACATGAAAAACAGGAGAATAGACAGTAGTGTAAGGGATTATTTTCAAAGTGTTGTCAAAATGTACAGGAGCAATTTGATTTTTGTTTTCTCTGACTTGTATAAATGGTTTTGAATAAGAATTCTTTTGTCCTTTTATGCGCTCGAATAAAACTTTTGTTTTTTGTCTGTGGTACAGCATCTGTAAATATTTGCACTGTTAACTTAAACTGCAATTTTGATGAGTTGCTAATGTTGTTATATTGGCTCATGTAAAGAAACTAAAAATTTTTAACTACACCTTTAGAATTTTAGAGCTAAATTTCTTTTAGGTGCAGAAACTTTGTTCTGTGCACAAAATTGTGCACAGAACAAAATTAATCAGGCAGACTATTTTCTGTCTTTTTCTTTTGGGCCTTATTTGTAATTTTCAAGAAAGTATTTCTTTCAAAATAGTTAACTTGATGAAAGGCAGGACTGGTTTTGAAATAGTTATATGGTTAAAATTCCACATAAATTCCACATGTAAGCAAGCTACAATTTAGTTACCTTCACAGGCAACACTTAGTTTTACAAGATTTTTGTGACAGTGTTGTTCCTTGGTAGTTTGAAAAATGTCTGCTATTTACACGGATTTCCAAGAAGTTAAGGAAAAAAAATACAGATGCATTGCAAATTTGTATAATTTTTAATGTGGTTTTGAGCTTAATTTTTTTTCTAAAAGGTTGGTGCCTTGGTAGATAAATGCAGTGTTGGTTCTGTGGATATTCATGCTAAATGCATTTCTCTTTTCAGCAGTGAAAGCACCTAGCAATATAGATTCCACAGATCAGAAGAAGACCAAAACGAAGCTCAAAAAGTTTCTTACACGACGCCCTACGTTACAAGCTGTCCGTGAAAAAGGCTACATTAAGGGTAAATGAACCTTTTTAACAAAGGAAATAATTTGAAAAGCTGAATTTAGTGGTTCATGTGTAAAATGGGGTTAAAATGGTCCCGTTTTAGAGTAAAACACATATATATAGCTGGTTTAACAAAAGTCTTCGATGTATAGTGTAACTGGTGATTGATACTCTTCTGAGCACTGCTACTAGCCGCTAAACTTCATGCAGGATGTCCTCTCCTTCAGCTCATTACTGACAAAATGACAGTGAAAAATGGCAGGCCTGGGAGCCTGTTTGGACTTGGAGTGCTGCTTAGCTAGAGAGTCTATTTGGTCTGCTCTTCTGAGCTGGAAACTTCAGATAGCTTGTAATTGTTTGTGCATGCAAGGGAGAGAAACATCGTTTGGGTATAAAGCTGAATGCATGTGCTCATCTGTTTCATAAGGGTGTTTTAGTCTGAGTGGAACCAGACAATTGTGCCATCCCATAAGAAATGAAATATTTAGACAAACCAGGATGAGGCTAAAGGAATCTGAACTTAAACATATTTTTCCCCCTAACCTATTTTGAATGTATACTTTAAGTGTTTCACAAACAATGAGTCTTACAGATATTCTTGAATCAAATTTATGAAAGTATTGATTTCCATTTGTCACACTTGTAGAAACTTTGAGAGAACATTTGCACAAGTTTAAGTTAATGTGTTTGTGTAAATTATTGACTTGGTACTCACTGTAAATCTTTATTTATTTGTATGCTTTAGCAGGACTTGTAGGTGGTGCTCTACTAGGGTCAAAATAGCATATGGGTAGGCAAATATCAGACCAAATCCTACTGTGATTTGCCTAACTACCTACTTTAACAGGTGTGCTTCTGTTGCATGTGGCGTTTGATATATTTGTGTATCTGCAAATATAATTTAACTGTAAATTATGGAATTTTTGTTTGGGATAAGAAGCCATTATTCCCAGATTTTGACGTTTTGCTCTGCTTTACAGCTTAGTATTCATGTCATGGCTCAGTGACATAACTTCTGACATTAGCAACAGTGAACACTAAGCCAAGTTTAATTTGTACACATGCGTGCTGATGATTGGATTTTTAATAAAGACATTAAGGAATGAAGAGTTTGTTTTTATTTAAAAGCATGGTGTAAATTTTAAAAGTTGGATCTGCACTGTACAGTTTTACATTTACTGTATGAATGAAAAACACAGAAGTCTTTATGTAAAAGCCAGTGTACTTTTGTGGCTGCTACAGAACAAGCTTAGTAAATGGAAAACTTGGCAAACCCAGTATGAGCAGAAAAAATAATGAAAAGTTCTAATAAAAAAACCCAACACTTGAAACAGCATGCACTAAGCAGAGAAGTAACTGTGCTACATGGAAAAACAAAATTACAAAATTTACTTTAAAATGAGAGGGGTAAAAATTATTTCTCTAAATGTGGAAATTATTAAAGTCAGAGGCAATTGTAGCAAATCAGTTTGTTACTTGCTAGAATTCTCTTGTGCTACCTAATCTGCATTGCTTTACCTGCTACAGCTGCATGCTAGCCTGGCTTTCTACTGTGTGGGCTTTCTCAATCCCTTGCTACTGATTCTGCTTATACAGCTGGCTGTGTGAGTAGCAGCAGCAGGAGTGAGGTGTTGTGCGTCACTGGCCTTATACGCATACAGCTAATAATACCACTATATGCCAGTTTTCGTACTATATAATTGGTTTGGTGTGCTGTTGGATTTCCCAAAGCAAGTGGAAAAAATCAGATGCAAGTGTTGTTAATAAATCTACTTAAATTACTAAACACGAAAAATGGACTAGATGCTATGCATGATGTAAAGTCAAGAGCAGCTTCTCTCTTGCATAAGCTCTGAAGTAAGATCTACTGGATACCACGAAGATGACCACTTCATCTTATTTAACAGATTAAAAAGAACCAAACCAAAATTTTCTTCCCTTTAAGAGTATGAGCTTTGCTTCTCTATCTCAAAACCCTATTTTTTTGGGGGGGGGGCATCTGTTATTTGGGCGTCTTTGAAGACCATAGAAATGGGTCAGATTTTGCTGATAACATAATCAGAACGACAAGAGTTAATGTGTTGCTGAAATACACTGAGACACTGCAAGAATCTGTTCTCTGCCTGCCTAAGCTCATTTTCGTTTTTGTTCCAGTTTATGACAGAAAACATTCCCCCTGGATTGTGTAGTTTTGATATGACTCAAAATTACCTTTGACCATAAATATCTGTATTTAGATTTCAACCTTGCAGCCAGGTTGCATATGCATAGTCATACTTGCATCCATTCAAAGCTCTGTGATCTCAAGGTCTGTCATTTACAATTTCATGTCAGAATTTAAAAGTGTTAGAAGTTAAAGACTCAACATGAAAGTAAATTAATATGTAATGCTGGTTTAAACAGTAGCTGCAATAAAAAATGAAATTTTACAGCATTTTTTTTTTGCAAGCAATGCCATTTTTCCCCCCAAGAAATGCTGTATTATGCCAAAAATAAACTTTTGCTTAAAGTTTATTATCTCTGTTCAGAAATGTAACAAAGATTACAGTAAATGTATTTTGAACTTGGAACAGAAATGGAGTGTAATGGACATTTGAATTAATTGAATTTCTGATTATATGGCTCTTACAAGTATCTCCTGATGGATTAAAATTATTTCAGTAGCAAAATTTCCTTATTCAGAGACTCATGTTTGTGTAACTGCTGACATTCTTTCTTACTGGGAGCTTTTTCTTGCTGGGAGCTGCTGAGAGCTCTTTTCAATACTTCCCTATTTTCTCTCTAATACTGCAACAATTGTATCCAGTAGTCTTTGCCCTTTGTAGAGGTTTGTTTTAACCTGAACTAGTTCTGTCACTTGAGTCCTGTTCCACTGTAAATCAGTCTCTTTACTTGGTTCCAGATCAAGTGTTTGGTTCCAATCTCACCAGCTTGTGTCAAAGAGAAAACAGCACGGTGCCAAAGTTCGTGAAGCTGTGCATTGAGCATGTTGAGGAACATGGTATGGTTGAAGTTTTTTGTTTCCAAATCTCTCTTGGTCACCACACTATCTAATTTTGAACATTTTAGTCCTTAAAATGCTGTGGATTTATTTGGGGAAATTAATCTGAAACTTGTATCTGCAGTTAGCAATGAGTTTTTAAGAGGTGGGATGCAAAATGGGGAGAGGGGAGGAAAACCTGTATCTGAGGAAACTGATCTGCTTCAGTTTATTTCAAGCCGAGGAGAAGGCAGGACAGCCTCCTGGCAGCAAGGCTCTAAGGAAAGAGGGATTACAAGAAGTAATAGAAGAGCTCAGCCCATCAAGTTGGTTTTTTTTTCAGATGAAAAGAGAGACCGTCAAAATGCAGCCATTCATTTTTGGAAGGTTTACATATGCTAACAATCAGTTATATTAAAACTGTCTTGAAAAAAACTTCTAGGAAAAGATTGTGTTCCTGCTCTGTATATGCATTGACTGCCAGAAGACAAATCTTATCGGTTTGATGCCCTTCAGCCAGTTACACTGATTGCTATGTGAAATTTTGTGCAATTCTGGAGATATCAGTGTCCACATTGATTCTTTTTTTTTTTTTCTACTTTCATTGCAAATAAGTCTCTCCCGTGTAATAACTGAGAAAATTATATGTTCGAAAGCTACATGCAACATTCTGGGTTGTCTGATGTAAAGGACATCTTCACATTTTTGTTGAAAGTGTGTTGGTTGTGACTCCTGACTTGGCTGTAGTCTCTGCTGGTTTTCTTGCTTTTTTCTTGCTGTTGTCATTGCCCTATCTCTTGGAAAAGATGACTGAGAGGGGATTATGGAATCTCCATAATCATCATTCAGATATCTACCAGTCTGTTAATCTGAGAATATTCTCTTGAGAATCAGGGTAAGTGTTACAGGGGAATGTTACATGTGAATTTTAAGGCATCTTCCATGGGAACTTCATTTAGGATTTTGTTGCAGCCTGTAGTCCTCTTTCTTAATGCTGCTATTTTACGGCCTGGGAGGGGAAAAATAACTGCTTCCATTGCCTTGCCCCAGTTTGACAAACTGCCACCTTACTTGTAACAGCAGGCTTTATTCTGTTTGTGATCTGCAATTTATGAGAAAGGGGTTATTTTGCTTTTTTTTTTTTTTATTTTTTTTTTTTTAATTTTAAAGACAGGACTGCAGTGAAGATAGTGTTGAAGTGTTCCTTTTTTAAATACCTGAGGGGAAGCTGACAGAAATAAACAGCTTTTCTTTTTTTCCCCACTTCTCCAACTCTTCTTCCTACTGCCAGTACACTTCAAATCAGTTCTTTCTGTAAAGGAATGACTAGTGGATTATGGGGAAAAGGGATATGTCAGATGGTGCTGGTAACAGTGCTGTGTTGCATCAGACAACTCCTTGAGGAGCTACAGGGACTTGCAGGTATTCTGGCAACATTCACACTCTCAGTGGCACTGACTCACATGCTGCATTCAAGTGACGTTTCAATTAAATTCTTTACCTCCTAATCACTTCTGAGTAACTGCAGTAGCAACCACAGAGACACAGTTTTCTTCTTTTCTGGTTGAGTGTGCAATACTGTAAAAGCAAGGGCTACCCATTTTATTTTTGTAGGCTGTTGGGTAGTGATGAGTGTGCATGCACATCATTCCTTCTACATGCAAACCTGGTCACTTGACAACTTTGAGATGCTCTCTATGCATGACTTGATTTGATTTTTCTTTAACCATACATTAAAAAATTGAACATCCACAAAATACTTGGTTCTTGCATGTTGGACTCTCATATGTTCCCTGTCCACCACCACCAAGAGCATCTTAAATGAGACACCTAGTCTCATTGGGGAAACTTGAACCTGTTGCCTCATTACTACTGTTTAGCGGTGTAGGAAGTTTTAGAGATTACTTTGAGCTTGATGCTACCAAACTGTCAGCAAACTAAACCTCCTGATATGCCCTGCCCATCAAAAAAGCTAGTTTAACTTATTTTTTTCTTTTGTTTTTGTTGAACCAAGTGTTCTTTGTTACAAGGTGGGTTTCTTTTGATTTTAATTTTGCTGAGTAGATCTATAAAGAAGGAGCCTAATGATTTCAGAATCCATACATGTGTAAGGTATTAAAATGGATTTATCCCTTTGTTTTAGGATTAGATGTTGATGGCTTATATCGAGTTAGTGGCAATCTTGCAGTGATACAGAAGCTAAGATTTGCAGTCAATCATGGTAAGCTCCCTTCAACTATATTGTAGTTGTGTTGTATATTTTCAGACTGTTGAAGTTCAGAAAGCCCAGGAAAAATTTTTCTTAATGTATAACTACAGTTGTTCATGAGAAATGATTGTCATCTTGAATGTAAAATTACTTCAGGATTGCAAAATTTAGTGTGTAGTATACAGCATTTGAAAAACAGCATCCTGGAGGTTTGGTCTTATGTGGAGCATAGAGGCATTGCTGTAACACAGTTCTAAAGAAAGGCTGCAATAGAACTGCAGGGTGGGAGGGTGATTTCAAGCAAGATAATTCAATACCTAATGGAAAAACAGTAAACATATTAAGCTTCCACTAGCACTAAAATTGTATGCTAATGCTTTTCAGGGAGATTTGCTATTGCCTTTTAGTATGGGGGTGCTTAGCTCCCCTTTGCCATGCATAGGGTGTATAAAACCCTTTAATGTGGGTATATCTTAGTGTTTTGTTCAGTGGGAATTGAAAGGCAACTTGCAACTTCCGAGAGGACAGTAGCCCATCTAACAGTCTGACCTCTCATTTCCTGACTGATAGGGTCTAACAGTAAACTGTTATGTCAGCAGCTCCTGTTCCACTTATGTGTAGAAGAGCTGCATGTAGTGCAGTAGGTAGAGTTTGGACATCTCTCTCTAGTGGCTGAGTTTTTGTATCCCCTTTTACACTGCTGCAGCTCTGTATCCCAGCAGGGAATAGGCTGAAGCAAAGGAAGTCTTCACTGCTTTAAAAGCACTAAGTATGGAAGAGTAGTTAAGTTTATTTTTCAAAAAATGGCTTTTTGTAGTTAAATTAACACTAATTATTCATTTTTTTCTCTCAGATGAGAAACTAGACTTGAATGACAGTAAATGGGAAGATATACATGTCATCACAGGAGCTCTAAAGATGTTTTTCAGAGAATTGCCAGAGCCGCTGTTCACTTATAATCACTTCAACGACTTTGTCAATGCAATTAGTAAGTCAGGAAGACATGTGTGTGCATTTTGTATAATTTCTGCTTAATATGTACAATTCATTTAATTATTTTGGACGGTAAAAGAATATTTTGGTTGTGAACGTCTGCAAGGCCTCACTGAACTTGCCTGTTGGTAATGGACGGTCCTGCCAGGAGATGGCAGTATTTTATCTCATATCAGCACTGCAAAACGTTCTCTTATTCCCATTCCCTGTTAGATTTTATGCTAAAGTTTAAACAAAAATACCGAACTTTTGTTTCTACACCTCATCCTTTTGCAGAACAAGAACCACGGCAGCGTGTCCATGCTGTTAAAGATTTAATCAAACAGTTGCCAAAACCAAATCAGGACACTATGCAGGTACTCTTTAGACACCTGAAGAGGTAAGTAGCAGATAGAAGGAAAAAAAACTTTGTATTGCTGATCCTCCCTTAAAACTAAATAAGCCAATTAAAAGTACTAAGTGACTATTTCCACTGCATTTTTCTTGTCTGTGTTGGCCTTGGTGTAAACAATATATCAATCTGTATTTATACAGGCTTGCAGAGCACCAAACAGACTTTAGACAATATGTGTCATAGTTGTGAGTTTTATCACCAAGTCCTTATGTTTGAAGGATTGAGAGAGGATCAGGAATAGCATTTCAAAACAAAACTTTTCTGTAGAGAGGGGAATCACAGCAGCTGTATGTCTTAATAGCAAGACTACTCAAATACTGTGAATAGTCACTTGCTTTGGACTCTCTTTTTTGGCATCCTAGTACTCTAACACTGGTAAGTCTCTTTATTTGTGTATTTCTTTTTTCTCTTTCAGAGTTGTAGAAAATGGAGAAAAGAACCGAATGACCTATCAAAGCGTAGCAATAGTTTTTGGTCCAACCTTGTTAAAACCAGAAAAAGAGACTGGTAACATAGCAGTCCACACAGTATACCAGAATCAGATTGTAGAATTAATTCTACTGGAATTGAATTCCATCTTTGGACGCTGACATTCTTCTTGGAGTAGAAACTGGAAGTGATGGGTTGGCAGCAGTACTCCATCCGAAGGAAAGTCTCTTGCTGTACATGATGTATTATGTCTGTGGACCAAGCAGCAACTTGTTTTTTGCACTTTTGGGGAGAGGAGAAATGTTTGACCACTTTAATGCGAATTAAAGACAACACTTTAGATTTCTTTGAAAAGTTCAATGTAAAAAGTGAATTGAACAGTTTATAAAGTAGCATTGGGAAAATGTAATATAGGTTCATACACTGGATTTCTTGGAGAGTAAAGCTATTAATCTCAAACTGGATAATCTGGAATTTAATCTTAAATTGTATCCACTTGACAGGGAAAAGTCCTACCAACTGGTATGAAAAAATTCAGTGAAGTTACATCTTTAGCTTGTGTATTACAACCTACTCAGATCTGTATGACACTTTTCCAGGGGGTTTCTGCATGCAGTGACTGTCTAAAACTTGCACTAACAGTTTGGCTTAGTTAATTCAAATCTAATTCCTCACTTGATATCTGCTGTCCTTTTTCCTTTTTTTCCCCTCCCTTTTTCTTTTTTTTTTTTTTTATGTTTTGTCTTCCTTTTTCCCCAGCAACCTTTCTGGAACTTCTTAGTTACTTTATAGAGCAGCACACTATTTCAAACACTGAACTTGTAAGGATATCCAGCAATGGATATTTGTTTTGTGGCATAATAGTTATATTTAATAAACATGTTCATTTTTTTCAGGGTATTTCCTGAGCTAAGTTTTGTGTTATACTGATTTAAAGGTAAAACCCTAAGTAAATACCAACTATAACACTGTGTGGAGTTCTTCATATAATGCTGTGGTAGTGGAAGTTTCTTGATGTAAATAGAGGCTGTCCTTTTGATTCTTGTATATAATTTGGTTCCTGTATAGTTTAAGAACACTTTAGTCACACATTTCTAATCATGGGTAGATTAGCTACAGTAGCATAATGTTTCCAGTGGATGTCTGGGTTTCAGCAGGGAAACAAGTTATGGGGAGGGAGGGGGGACCTAACTGTGTGCACTTTTAGATGTTAATTACATTTGCAGACAAATAGCTGTAATGCAAATGGTACTGGAGAAATACTGAGTGTGCTTGCTAAATTGTTAATGCACTACAAGAGGAGCCTTTTAGGTTATTTAATATGTACAGGATACATTAGAAAAAATGTATTATGAATTCTAACATCTACAAATAGTGAAACTCATGTTTTGATAGATAAATGTTTGATGGAATCCATGATGCTAAATTTAAGATTTTCTTTTTACATTAATGTAGAATAATTTGTAAAATTGGTTTTGAAAGATTTTGTTACAGGGATCATGGTCTGCTGAAGATTTTTTAAATGTATTTTTCTAGACTAACTGCTGTATCTGACATATTTGCTATGTCTAACCTGAATAAAGAGAACTGTTAGTTCTTTTAAGAGTTTGCCATTCCCGCTTCAGACAACATGAGCCCCCTTTAAACAGTAAGACTGATGTATCTTACTGCTTAGCATGGATACTACTTGTGGCAAAGAGTTGTCATACTGGATTAAAAGAGGAATGCTTACTTTATAACCTATTTTAGGAACTTCCCTGTCCCTTTCTTTAACAACTCAAATGCTAACATAAAGTTCAGAGAGGGCAGAAGTAAATTATGGATATAAATTTGCAGTCTTTAAAACTTCCCAACTTACTTGGAACCTATTGTACAGAAAGCAGATACACTGGGCAAATTATATTTCGCCTTTGATCTGTTGTACACCTTTCACAACGCAGTTCTGGCTTACAGCAAAGGGGATGTGTGGTGAAGTACTGAGGTGTAATCAGATGAACGGTACGAGAAGTTCATGAGCGTAGAGCTTGCATGAAAAGTCTTTGGAGATAAAAGAGAAGATGAGTTACCTTGTGGCTTTCTCACTGTCTTCTTGTGGTAATGGTGAAGTCTTGTGGTTTGTTGTAAAGCGACCTGGGTGAGAATTGTGAAAGCTCCATTTCGGTGTTGTCAGCCTCCCAGTAGGCTGTCAAATCGTAGCAGTGCCAAGTGGCAGGTGTGCCCCAAGCTACTAGACCATATCAACAAAGTTGGAATCTGTTGCTGTAGATTATTCAAATCCCCAACTTCAGCTGTAAAATAAAAAAAGAATTCCCACCACTGAAGGAGAGGGCTTATCCGCAGGTCACCTTTTCTGTACAAGTGTTACGTTTTTCAAAGAAAGAATGCCTTTTTAAAACAATTTGATAATGAGGATGTCACACTTTTCCTTGTATTCCCCCAAAATAAAGCATTTTGTTATTACAATATCTAGTATTTTTTTTGTGCAATGAGGTTGTCATATGTTTTGATGTTCTCATTTTTAGTTTGGGGAGGGGAGAGTGTTCTTTTAAAAAGAGGTGTAGCTAAACACTTGAAACATTGAGGAAGAGGAGGCCATCCAAGCTGATGGTATGCTTGTTGTGACTAACTTAAAACTGTTTATGTCAGCACATTGAGTTTCTTGACTACTTGAAATACCTTGTCTTGGTCCTGCAGTTAGCTTTAATTTAAAAAATCAAAACCAGATTTTTGCAGAAACACAGCAAGAGAAAGCAATTTGTATTAGATGAAACATAATTAAGTTTATATAATCCTCACTGGGCTTTAAATCAGATTTGGTTATAGCTTAAAACCAATTTAAAGATTGAATATAAACTCTTTTGCAGGTACTGGAGGTCCAATATTATGTATTGGTGCCAGTTGAACTTTTGTTCCAGCACTAGAGCTGTGTTCAGCTCTATAGCTCTGCAGCACAGTGTTAGTACCAAGCAACTCCCAGGCATTTCTTCACTTTAGAGCTGGAGAGAGAAGCGGATACAAAAAAAGACAAGGCAAATATACACAGTCCTTTCATGTAAATGATTTTTTTAAAAATCAGAGTTGCATGTATAAATAAACCTTCCTCTGTGCAAGTGGATAGGTCACGCTTACTGCCTAGACTTTCCTCCCCATCTTCACGGAAAGCCAAGATAAATTCCCTTTGTACTGAACCCATTGTATCCTGGCAAGTGAATCCTCGACTCACAGCACTGAAAGAGAAGGGAGTTTATAGGTAAGACAGTATTAGGTTATTTCTATTTGAAGCCCTGACTTTTTCCCCTTAAAGGGGACAGCTTTAAGTAATGCTATTTTCAGAATCAATTGGTTAATTCATAAGCCATAATGCAAACCAAGCACAGTGGGACATTCTGCTGGGCGAAGGGGGAGGTACAGCATGTCTAATGAGGCCTTCTGCAACTGCTGGGGAGAGGAGAGCTCCTCTGAAGAATCTTAATTAGTCTCCACAATTGCAAAGTTTTGTGGGCAAGCAGCTGGTAGGACTGGATCAGACCTTTACAAAAGTAGCCCTATGTGACTGTGGGACTTAAATGAACACTTCCCCCCCACAACCCCCACCCCATAACGTTCTTGTAAACAGAGCACTTGTAAAACAAGATCACACTGTGTAACAAACCAACATGAAAGAGATTCAGAGCAACTTGGCCTCTTGGTCCTTTTTATTGCTTTGAGAATTAAATGGTAGCTCTAATATTAGTTTCCTACAACCTTCCCAAATAGATTTGAGTTTAAGGTCCTTGGCTACTACTTTCTTTCAAAAGAAGAAATCTCTTTTCCATTCAACAAATTTAGAACTGCAAAGTGGAACAAGCAGGGATAGCATCAGGTTTGTTTCTTGTAGAACATAATCTCGCAGCTTATTGCCCTAAAATGTAGTTGGCTAGGGAAGGGGAGAGCAGATCCTTAACGTGGGAATGAGTAAATGCAAAATACTGAAGGCAACCAGACAAAGCAGGTGTGATGGACAAGCAAGAGAGCAAAGAAACAGTCACTTCAAAAATCTGCAGGAATCAAGATGAGAGACCTTTTTTTTTTTTTTTTTTTTTTTTTTTTTTTTTTTTTTTCTTTTCTCTTTTTCTTCTTGTCCTGTATCATACAATACAGATGAAGGCCTGGCTGTGTTTTGTAAGGGTAAGTTGCTCTGTAAACAGGTGGAGTTAAAGTGACATTGCAGAATGGCAGTGCCCACCTTTCTCCAGACTTTGTTCCAGAGTGGCTTCTATGTGCCAGCTCCTCAGTGATGCGCTTGTGTCCAGGTTCCCTTGACGCAAACATCTCTGAGTGCTAGTGGGAGTCAGGAACTACCTTCCTTCAGAATACTTGTGAATGCACAACCAGCATCTCTGTGATACAAAAAGTAAAACTTGTTCTCAGTTGACAGCATTATTCTGATGGCACCGAGTGCCCCATCTGAGACCTAAACCGAAGAGTATGGTAGCCCTGTCAGTTAGAATCTCAGCATAACAGAAGAAGCAAATACATGAAGCTGAAAAGTAGGGAGTATGAAGAAAAAAATAAAACCCCAAGATAAACTATCTTCACAACCAGTTTAGATTTGCATGTATGGTACGAATCTACACAGAACAGTATAATTCATTATGTGAAAGAAACAGCTGTTGTCTAAAAAAATAAAAGCTGTGATTTTTTATATCGGGCACTGGAAGATAGATGTTAAACGCTGGTCAGCTTGTCTAGTTCACCATGTGCTGCAGCCAAATGGTTGGAATTCAAACTTCTGGTGGTGTGGTGCCTGGGCATTGATGTGCCAGTGCTCTCTGCCTTTTCTTTATCAGGAGGGTGATGCTGAGCTGGTGGTGGCTTGTTGGCTTTCTGCATGAGTGTCTTGCCTAGCTACTCCTTCCAGTAAAAAGGAGGTACCTAACCTAGAAACAGAACTGAAAACTACCTTTTTCCAAGAAAAACTTTCCTATCAGCCTGGCCTGGGCAGGGCTTTGTCTGCAGGCACTTCTGCTGCACAGTGCTGCCACCAAGCTCGCTTTCCCGCTGCAGGGATACTCCCTCCCCCCGCCCCCCCGGACCGAGTGAGTGCATCTTTTGTGGGTCCTGGCCTTAGTAAGGCCCTTGCCAACACATCCGTGATCCGCTCAACTTCATAGCTTGCTTCTGTGAAGAAAAATGGAGACATGGTTGTACAAGAGGTAGAGCCTCTCCTCTGGCACTCCCTTAAAGGATTACGTGCAGTAAAGGATACCATCATATTTCCCACTATGAAATAGCCGTTTCAGAGCTGAAGTGCTGTTCTTGCCAATATACTAGTCTTGCTCTAAGTTTTCTCTTTGAAGTTTTAAAGACAAGTCTTTTCCTATTAATCTCTCCTTTTCCTGCATCCACCCACCTGCTATTTCTGCTGCACTGAAAGTCAATCTGACTTGGACCATTTGCTTCCTTATTTGTACAACAGCCTGGAGCCCCAGGGGCTGGAATGTGCTGTGCTCTGCCCAGAGCAGGCGAGGCTGAGGTGCGGGCCCCTCAGCCATAGACACATCATTATAAAGCAGTCATCAGCATTAATGCTAAATAGTAACATAAATTAAAAAAGAGAAATTTTAAAAAAGAAAAAAAGAAACCCAGACTAGACGAATTAAAAAATTAACCTTTCCAGATAATAGTTAAAGCAGGCTGCATGCTGCTCCCATTTCCCTGAGTGTCCGTTCTCCTGTACTGCAAAAATGTACTTAAGCTAAGCAACTAGGTGTTATATTTGGTGCAAGACTGAGGGTAAGCAATGTAATTCCATGCAATCACTGAATCACCATCCTTATTGCTTGTATAGGCTGAGCTGTGCGCCAGTTGTCAAAGAGAACTGCACAATTTCAGGTTTGCATTAAACTGATGTGGCTGTAGGCCAGGATCATACTCGTCCCCTTCTTTTGCCTGAGCCTCCCAGCC